GTTTCTTCCTGTTCAAAGGGAGTTTTTCCTCTCCACTGTCGCTACAAGCATGCTTAGTGTGAGGGATTGCTGAAGAGTCAATGAATCTGCATCATCATTAGCCACGCTAAAGCTACAGATACTCTCGACTGCGTTGTGTTATTATCGTTGTCAGGGCAACCATGATGTTAACATCATGTGGCAACGTTCAGCAAATCATGTAGCGTAACGTAACTGGAATGAAGCAGGACCACAGCAGATCTGGGAGCTACAGCGGTTCCCAGAGAAAGAGACACGATAGAAGATGAATCTGAGCCTGCTTCTGTTTCCCCGGGCCGGCCGGCTCCATCCTTCTGCTTCCATGTTCCCTGAATCCCAGAGGATCCCTGAGAAACAGGCTGAGTCTCAGTCAGCAGACGGGCTGTGATCAAACATTCAGAGACGCGTGTCGACAATGTTAACAGCAGGTTCTGCTGATCCTTCAGGAGGAACTATCAACGCACCGCAGGGTGAACAGAGGAACCCAACAGAACACCAACCTGCTGAACATCGTTCATCACAGAACCCGTCCTGCTCATCAGCTGCTGTTAGAGCCGCGAAGAACAACACAGTTTCAGCAGGTTTAATGATTTCTACATAAATAAAATAACAACATCACGAAAAATGAGCTATTTTTACATCAATGAATCTTTAAACTTGTAGAAATTATTACTTATAGATGAAAAGTCTAGTTCTTAGAGCCAGATTGACACACAGAGGAACAAAAGCTTAGATGACCTCATTTCCTCACGGTATGGGGTGAAAATACCCTCAATAAAAACTGAAGTCAAACATGGAAAAAATAAAACGTTTGTTCATTTCTGTGACATCAGATGATTCATCTGTGAGAATAATAGTTTATAAATTAGGAATAAAAGTTGCAACTTGGCAGCGATACAGGAATACAGTCATAAATCAGAAATTTGCAACTAATGGTAACAAATCTGTGAATCACAAATTTATAGGAGAAATCCCACATTTGTGACTGGATAACAAATTTACAAGTAATAAATCTCAATGTTCTTAAGTAGGAATTACTCATTTACAATCACTGTTTGTGATCCTTACCATGGCCACGGGGAGTGGGGATGCTGCAGCACCCCCTAGTGGCGAGAGGGAGATTTAAAAAAAAATATTTCCACAATTTATACATTTCTTATGAATATTTTGGAAAATTATTTTACATTTTTTCC